ACCCTCATCCTGGTTCCAGGACTAAGCCTCTATATTTCAGGTTTCTTCTAGTGTCAAGGTCAGAACCCTACCCCAGAGATGTTCCATAGCAGTTTGTGAATTGATTGGGAGGCGGCAGTGGAGTTGCTGTTGGGCCCCAAGTGCATATGCTGTGATAATGTGGGAGAACTGAGGGAGTCCTGTAGAGACAGGCAGACTGCCTTGATCCCTCGAGGAAAGCCACAGTACTTGACTTTGTGCTGTTGGCATAGCCCGACAGTCTTTAACTCCAAAATACCCTTAGTTCAGTCTGGTTCATTCGACAAATAAACAAAGTTATAATTGTTTTACCAGCCACTGTGATAAGGACTGGGAATAATGAAAGCCAACAATCATAATAAAATAAAACATAATCTGTCCTTGAGGAATTCTGTTTAGAGCCAAGACCACAATACATAAATTTTAAGTTGACACGCACTTGCAACTGAAACAAAGGTTTTGTGCAGCTTCTGTTTATTGTGTGCCACATACTTGGATATTTTCTGTTCTCTTTTAAAATGTGCTGGTCATAGCCTTCTAAATTGAGTTTATGACCCACTAGTGGGTTGCACTATAGGACCTAAAATTTGAAAAAAAAAAAAAAAAGGAGAAGGGGAAGCAGATACATAAATAAATGCATGTAGAGAGCCAGTGGGGGAAAGGTACAGCTGAAAGCATACCTTTTTTGCTCTTGTTGCCCAGGCTGGAGTGCAATGGCACGATCTCGGCTCACCATAACCTCTGCCTCCCAGGTTCAAGTGATTCTCCTGCCTCAGCCTCCCAAGTAGCTAGGATTACAGGCAGGCGTCACCACACCTGGCTAATGTGAGGCTAATGAGGCCACGTGAGGAAGGACCGTGAGTGATACGATACTGAATTTAGTGTTTCTCCTATAGCTGACAAGGAGATCATGAAAGTTTTTAGGCAAAGGAGTACTTAATAAAGGCGTTTAAGATAGCAATTTGCAGTGAAGGAAGAGTCATTCAAATAGTATTTTAGTAATGGAAGCAAAGATGTTAAGCCTTATTCACTCATGCACTAATTATGTGCCAACACCATGTCAGATGCTGGAGTGACAATGTTGAAAAACATACAAACCCTGCCTTCAAGGTACTATGGCCAATTGGAAGATATATGATGATGACATCAATTATAGGACAGAGTAACACACATTCTGAGAGTATTGCAGAATTTGGTGAAGAGGAAGAGTGGAAAAATCTGCTTTTTCCCTTCATTAATAGTAAACTTTGACTCCAAAACCAAATACAGTTGGTTTGTATATTCCTTTTTAAAAAGAATACTGTCTCTATGCTATTTACATAGTTAAAAGTTGGGCATAACTGAGGGTCTTCACTCAGGACAAGTCAAATGACATTCACTTTCTTTTCATCAACACCCTTTGCATTTTTCACTTGGTTCTGCTGCTTGGAAGTCTCTTGGCACACCAGGAAACTGAGTGTGTGTCCCTTTTCTTTCTTCTACTTTCCACATGCCAGGTGGACAGGTGGTTCCTGACTTGCAATGGTTTGATATATGATTTTTCAACTCTACAATGGGTTTATTGGGGTATTAAATGCATTTTCACCTTATGATGGGGATTATCAGGGTATAGCTCCATTGTAAATCAAGAAGCATCTGTATTAGATTTTGTCTGCTGTAACAAATTACTACCAATTTAGCATCTTAATACAAAAATTTGTTTTTTTTCTTTTTCTAACAAAATAATCTGTACAACTAAGAAATTTATTTTTTTTTACAACTCTGTAGGTCATAAGTTCAGCATGAATTTCACCAGTCTAAAATCAAAGTGTCAGCAAGGCTAGGTTCCTTTCTGGAGGCTCAAGGGAAAAATCTATTTTCTTGTACATTGATCATTGGCAGAATTTTGTTCCTTGAGTCTGTAAGACTGAAATCTCCATTTCCTTGTTGGCGGTCAGCTGAGGGTTCTTTCCAGCTTCTGGAAGCCACTCACACGCCCTAGTTCATGAACCCCTTCCTCAATCTTCAAAGTCAGCAACTCTTCTGCCTTCCTCTTCCATTTTTAAGGACTCGTGATTACACTGGGCCTACTTGAATAATCCAGGATAATCCCCTCCTCTCAAGGTTCTTAACCTTAATTACACCTGCAAAGTCTCTTTTGCCATGTAAGATAACATATTTACAGATTCTAGGGATTATAGCATGGACATCTTTGGGGGAGGGGGGGATTTTTTGGCCTACCACACAATGCCTGCATCTCCTCTGTTATCGCCTGAAAATGTAGCCAGTGGCAGAATAGGGAGCCAGATAGGCTGGTGCTGGGGCATTGAGGGTATCAGCTGACACAGCAGCGAATCTAGAGACTAGACCCACTGCAAGAGATGAGGGATTTCAGTTCTAACCCATCAGCGAACTCAGAATCCAGTGAACCTTTTGAGGCAAGAAACGTAAACATCTAACTTGGCATTTTCCTAGCATTCCCCAGCTATAAGCTAGGCAGTTTAGAAAACAAGGAATTCAGACTCTAGACCCTGCTTAATAGGTTCACCAATGAAATGTGTCAGACTGAGTAGAAGCAGCATGATGATGGTGTGAGGCACACTCTGAGGGAAAAAGAAATAGGGTTAGGGAGGAGTGAGCCACTGTCCCAGATTAATAGAATGTTAGAACTGTCCAAAGGATCTGAGATATCATTTAGCCATGTTCTAGGCCTTGTAGGAAGTTTTCTGGAGCAGGCCTTACCCTTGTATCTGGTTTACTGCTTTATCCACAACATCACTCTTTTAGTTGCTCAAGAAATACTTGAATGATGTACTAGAGTAGAAACTCTGGTTAGAAAGGTGAGTTGACATGATCAAGATCAAACCGTTGGTTTGCAGAAGAGGGGGCATAGACTGGTTTTGTTCTACTAAATTTAGGAGGTAGCTTCCGTAAAATGAACTCCTGCACCAAATGAGGCTTCTTGTGTACTTTCTGTCTACCTTGCACATAGCATTTCTTCCTTCTACATGAAATTATTCATATGGAATAATTCATTTAATAACCTATTCATTTAATGTCTGAAACATGAGTCAAGAGACCTGAGTTCTGTTCCACATTTCCCCATTCACTTCCTTGGTGTCTGAGACAAATTACTTAACCTGTCCAAACTCCAGTTTCTTCAATCATGAGACAGGCTGAGGTTCCTTCTCAGCTCTCACATTCTATAATTCTAAATTTCATGGAGGCTAATAAATTAATAAGCTCCCTGCTATGGTTTGGGTATGGCTTTGGACCTGCAAAGTGTCATGTTGAAATATGAGTCCCAGTGCTGGAGTTGGGGCCTGATGGGAGGTGTTTGGGCCATATGAGTGAATTCCTCACAAATGGCTTGGTGCTATTCTCCTGAGAGTGAATTATCACCCTTGAGAACAGGCTGTTGAAAAAAGCCTAGTATCATCTTCTCCCTTTCTCTCCCCTGATGCCCCATCTTGCACTCTAGCCATGTGATCTCTGCACGAAGGCTCCCCTTTGCCTTCTGCCATGAGTGGAAGCAGCATAAGGCCCTCATCTGAAGCTGATAGCCTGCAGAACCATGAGTCAAATAAACCTCTTTTCTTCATACATTATCCAGCCTCCCGTATTCCTTTATAGCAACACAAACAGATTAAGACCCTTACCCATGGACCATATGTCTGCATGTCCTCATATTAGTGTTCCCAAAGTGTGGTCAGCCACCATCTAAATCATTGGAGGTCGGCCATGCATGGTGGCTCATGCCTGTAATACCAGCACTTTGGGAGGCAGAGGCGGCCTGGATCATTTGAGGTCAGGAGTTCAAGACCAGCCTGGCCAACATAGTGAAACCCTGTCTCTACTAAAAATACAAAAATTAGCCGGGTGTGGTAGTGCATGCCTGTAATCCCAACTATTCGGGAGGCTGAGGCAGGAGAATTGCTTAAACCAGGGAGGTGGAGGTTGTAGTGAGCCAAGATTGTGCCACAGCACTCCAGCCTGGGTGACAGAGTAAGACTTGGTCTAAAAAAAAAAAAAAAAATCACCTGAGATCCTTTACATATGCTGATTTTTGCAGTTGTTAAGAATAATGAATTAGATGTATGGTTTCCATTAGGCCATGCTTCCCTTTTCACTCTATGGGCATGCTACACATAAAAAGTGGTAATATTTTTATGTGTATGTGGCACACTAGGGGAAGAAACCTTAAGATTGTTTGTCTGCCAATGCACATCTTGTTGAGAAACTCTGCCATAAGTATTGAGAAAAACAGCTGCAGAAAAATATGCATATCTCACTTTTTCAAGACAATGCCAAAGCTCAGTATTAGAGTGCATGTATATCTGCATGGATATGTATTATGTTTTTATACAATTACATGTTATTTTATGTAAGTATAGATATACACTATTATAAGAATATTTAAAGAAATGTACTAGGTTGTTAATGTAGGGGAAGAGAAGAGGGAATACAAGGAATAAAAAAATTTTTCAGTGAAAAATTCAATATGTATGTCATGACTCCATTTATACATTTATGTAAAATAATGTATAGAGATGTAAAAAATAAAAAATGCAGATCCAGAGCCCCTCTCTCAGATCCTTTCAAGCGGAATCTTAGGAGGTATGGTGAGGTGGATGTCTGCATCTTCAACAGGTATTCCAAATTATTCTATAACAGTAAAGTCTGCAAACCTTTGCGTTAGGTGCAAATATCATTAGCTGTGAACACAACGTAGTTGGGAATTTCCATTCTGCAATGCAGGCTCAGTTGATCCTCATTGTCTTGGAACATAGTAGATGCATAATAAATAGTGCTGATTATTTTGAGTCATTTGGAGGACAGGTGGAGGGAGTGAGGGCAAAAGTGGTGAGAGGAGCAGATGAGCTGGGCAAGGACATCCTTGCTTGGGAGAAAAGAGGCAAAGCGTGTAAGAACATACTGAGCCTCCTTGCCACTTTTGACATTCAACCAATATTTCTTAGGCACTACGTATATATGCAGGACACTTTTCTGTATCTTGTTTATGTTAATTCTTAAATAATCCTTTACAGACTCAGAGAGGTGAAAAGAATAGCACAGGTAGTATCAGAATTGGGATTAAAACCTGACACATACACTGAGCAGCAAGTTAAAACCGGGCACTGGGCAGCTGCTGAGGATGCGATGGTGAGTACAATAGACTGCTTGCACTTTTTGATATCTAGAATCTTACAACTCTGCTGTGATCATCCTTGTCTGTTGTCATTTACTAGTTGACATCTTCGTTGACTACCTAGAAGCAGCTGCTTCGGCATCTATTCCAACCTAGATCCCGTCAAAGGGAGATTACAACAAATGTGCTTTTTGTCTGTCATCTCTAGCTAGTGTTTCACAGTGGGGGAAGTATCATTTCCTAGGTGACTTTGCATAGAGCAAGCTCCCCAAAGGCCAAGGAATACTCAATCTAGATTCTTCCAACCCTCCGGTACTCACCAAGTCAAAAGAATTCTGGCTTCCTGTAGCTTCATCTAAGTGCTTTTCTGTTAGGGCAGAAGGAAAAGTGAGGAAAGCGATGCTCTTTCAATAAGTTTGGTGGTGGGGCGGGGTCGGGGGAAGGAATGGTACTGATTTTTTTTTTTTTTTTTTTTTGAGACGGAGTCTCGCTCTGTCTCCCAGGCTGGAGTGCAGTGGCCCGATCTCGGCTCACTACAACCTCCGCCTCCCGGGTTCAAGCGATTCTCCTGCCTCAGCCTCCTGAGTAGCTGGGACTACAGGCGTCCGCCACCACCCCCGGATAATTTTTGTATTTTTAGTAGAGACGGGGTTTCATCATATTGGCCAGGCTGGTCTCGAACTCCTGACCTTGTGATCCGCCCGCCTCGGCCTCCCAAAGTGCTGGGATTACAGGCGTCAGTCACCGCGCCCGGCCAGTACAAATGAATTTCTTAACACATCTTTTGATCATCTCGTCCTTGGTGTTGGAAAAGACTAGGGAAAATCCAAAAGTGTCTATTTGGTGCCCAAATGCTAGAGTTAATACTCGAGGGCCTTGATCTCTGGCCTCTTACCATCCCTCTCCCATTATTTCTGAAGAAGTAGCCATTTTGCAGATTCCGGAGGATGGCAGCCAGGGCCGGCCCTTCGGACTGAATCTCATCTCCTTCTCCAGGCTCCTTGGATCAAGCTGGGACCGGCAGCGCCAAGGCTGCTCTCCGTGATTTAGCAGCAACTTAGAGTCAGAGAGACCGGAAGATGGGAGGCCGGGATTCTCAGGTGGGGTCACGAGTGCTCAAAAACCCGTAGCAGCGGCCGCGTCCCCGCCCCGGGGAGGTGATCTGCGGCTGGCGGTGCAGTGGCCTCTCCAGTGCCCGCGTCCGATGGTCTAACGGCACTGCTCCCGGGGTGCGCGGCCCGCGACTCGGGTGCCTCCCCCAACCTGGCAAGTGTGCGTCCTTCCCACAAAATGCCACCACTTCCCTAAGTCACGCTGGGCCCCGGGGAGCTGATTTGAAATTGGTCTTCAGAAGACCGAGCAGGGCCGGACGCAGCCGGCCTCCGGCTGAGAGCGGAGGGGAAGCGTCCCATACTCTCCGAGAATCCCGCGGGCTCGTGGCGTGTGGGACGCTTTTCATCCGCTCTCAGTTCCCGGTTCCTACGCCCCAACTCCCTACTCGGTCGCAGCCAAAGCCCGGAGCGTGCGATCCGGACCTGGAGGAACGGGACGGCGAACGCGAGCGGCGCCGTGGCCGGGAGCCCGCCGCACCGGGCATGCTCAGTGGCGCGGCCGGCTGGGTGGCCCGCGAGCTGCACCCGGATCTGCTCCGCGGCGGCGACGTGAGCGCGCAGGGGGGCGGCGGCCTCGCCTCGTCTCTCTCTCAGCGCCTGGGTCGGGTGGGTGACGCCGAGAGCCAGAGAGATGTCGGATTTCGACAGTAACCCGTTTGCCGACCCGGATCTCAACAATCCCTTCAAGGTGAGCTTCGGCCCCAGCATCTCCTGCCGCCGCGACGCGTCGTTGTTTGTGAAAACGGACGAGTTCCTTCTCGCCCACTGCGCCTGCCCCTCGGCTCCCCTTGGCAGCCCAGAGAGGGGCGCGGGGCCGCAGTACCCCATTTGGCCCCCGGCCCCGCGTCACTCGTTTGGGTTTTGGGCTTTGGAGGTGGAACCTCCTCAGCTCGTGCCCGGCCGCCCTTCCACACGTCCCCGACTGGTGAGGGTCGTGCCTGCAGCCGGGACTGGGCCCGCGCGCCTGGAGGGGTCCTGGTCCGCCTCTCAGGAGCGGGGAGAGTGAGAGCCGAGGGCAGGTGGAGTCGCCCCTTGCCAGGCAAGTGTCGCTGGCAGGGCCGGGAAGCGGCGGAGGGGGGCCCGCCCTGGGGTGGGGTTGTCATGGGGACCCGAGGTGGCGGCGGCGGAGAGCTGCGTGGGGTGATGGCAGAGGTGTGGAGGAGGAGAGAGGTGAGGGCACCGAGTATACTGCAATTAAAAAAAAAAAAAAAGGTTGTGTTTTCATTTTTTAAACTTGTGTTGCACCCAAATACCACCAGTGGCGCTGCCATCCCCCCTCTCCTCGTTAGGCTGAGGTTGAGGGTATTGATACCAAAGCAGAAGTTAAAAATAAATAAACATATCTGGAAAACAATAGTGCACGTGGACGACTTCTTCCATACCCAGCTGCTTCTAGCAAGGTAAACGATGGGATATTTTCCAAGCACCTAGTGCGTCACCGGTTCTCTGGGCCATATGAGGATACCATTTCCCACTTGAGCTGCTTTTCTTCTTGGAGTCGACCTTATCAACCCCAGCTTCGGAAGGGCTTGGCACAGAATCCTGCAAAGGAAGGCGGCTGAGATGTTCGTCGCCTGCGTTTAAATGAATGCAACATCTAAATAACTCTCTCTGAAAGTATTCTGGATTTCCTAATGAGTGTAACTGTTAGCACGTGTAATTTGTTTCCAACTGTTGGTTGAAGTTGTTTCTCAATCCCCCCCGGCCGTGGGCAATAGTAACTTTAATTTGCAATCACACAGAATAAAACTAACTCTTAATTTGTTAATTTCTTAATTTGACACAGGTGTCACTTGTTGAGTTTACATCTTTTTACTCCTGATTTTATCTTTCATTAAGAATCCTGGAAGAGGAAAAATATTTCTGCTCTGATTATTAAATGCCTGATAATTCCAAGGAGGATTAATTTAATTTAATGAAATCCTGATTATTATTGACAACTCCACTCACTTTGTAGCAGTGTAGAATTAGACTCAGTCACTGTTTCATTGTCCCTAATGTCACTTAAGAAAATTAAGTACAACTGTCCTGTACCCTTCAGTGACATGGTTGCATTTTAAGACATTTTTTTTTTCCCCTGGCAGTTTTGTTTCAATTAGTATTGGACTTGCTTCCATGTTGTGGAAAATCGGGTTATTCTTAAATGGTAGACTTTTTAAAAAGACCGTTCATAAATTGTTAAATGGGTGTTATTTTAAAATATTTTGAAGATAAAACATCAAGAACCTTTTAGCCTTTCTTAATTCAGATAATTCATTGACACTGTTTATTCAGCATCTGACGATTTGGCAGTGTATTTTCTACTTGGTCTTTCCATTTCATGGTTCATTTCATATTAACTGGCTTTCTTGTTAGGGCAAGACATTGTCTTCATCTTAGCCCAGGCTGTCCTTTTGTGACATCTATTATTGCCATGACACTTTTCCTCTTGTGACATTCATAAAGTTGCTGTAGTAATTCTAAACCTAGGAGTTGTTTTAAATATTCATTGTGGCATAACATTATAAATCTTTATAAGTGGATGGACTCAGGACAATAATTATTCAAGTTTGAAAAATGCTTCAGGGACATCATTTAGGTCTAAGGGAGACTTGGTTGTACACACATTTCTGCTTATGATCTTTCTCTGATTTTGGTGACTCTTACAGCACTGTCAGTGTGTCTGACCCTTTATTTTTCCATTTCCATTTATATTCACCTGCCCCTCCTCCTCTCAAAAGTATAGTTTAATATCTATATTTTGTCTTTTTACTTTTTCTTATATTTATGTAAAAGTGATTTTTGAAATAACATTTCTGATACTCTACTTAAATCTGAAATGTTCCCAGACTCATTTGTGTTACTTTATGATCAGCCTCCCTAGTAGCTGGGATTACAGGTGCCTGCCACCACGTGTGGCTAACTTTTTGTATTTTTATAAGAGTTGGGGTTTCACTTTGTTGGCCAGGCTGATCTTGAACTCCTGACTTTGTGATCTGCCCACCTCGGCCTCCCAAAGTATTG